GCCCTGCTTCACACCCTGATTGTATTGTTGTTTTTCCTGGCTGGAATGTGTCCTTGAACTCTGATAATGCTTCTTGCTTGTCTGGTGTGTGTGGGTGTGTGTGCAGAAACAAGCCTACTGTACAGAGGTAAAACTTGCATTCATTACTCTGCCCACTTTTGCCTCTGACCCCACCCATGTGGCTCCCGAAAGCTTGTGACCCTCAAAGAGAAAAAGATACACTGCAGACATTTAATATGAGCCTGGGTTACCTAATCCAACAGCATCCATTCCACCCAACAGAGGGCAGTGGAGCACATCACACAAGGGAGGGTGGCCCTCCCATTGCTTGTTGACTACAAAATCCTGATGGCCAGAAATCCTGCCACTGCCCCTTCACTGAGTAGCATAATCCACATCTAACGCTTTCTAACCAAAAGACACTTAAGCATGAATTGCTTTGCTTCAGCAGCATAAGAATACTTGCAATTATGACGACGCCTTTTGAGTGTTCAAAGCATGTTGCATTCCTGATCTTAGGAATCCTTACAATAATCCTGTTTGAGTGGGATGTGCTATTGTCTTTTTATGACAAATGAAGAGGGGAGGCTTTCTTTTTTTCCGAGGGGGTGGTTTTGCACTCATGCTTTAATGCCAATGTTTCACTGTGCCTTTCTGTTGCCGATTCCAGTTGTCTCAATTGTGACATGTTTTATTCTCTGTCAGGGACTAGCAGGGCTCTGGCGAGTGTGTGGCAGGGACAGGGGGCTGGAGTCCAACCCAGGAGAGGAGGGGGGCAGTGATTCATGGGGTTTTGTGCCACCAGCAAGGCAGGAAGCAGGGCTGGAGGAAGGGCAAGAATTTGAGCAGTCGGAGACAGAGGAGGGGGTGCCGGACAGGTCAGAAGCAGAGGAAGAGACTGTTCAGGTGAAGGGTGGGCCCACTGAATCCCCGCCATCCTCTGCCCCACTGTCTCCTAGAACCAGAAGGGGCTTGAAGAGGCAAGCACAGCATCAATTTCAGGGTAGAAGGTTAGGGTATATCAACCTGGCGGGAGAGGTGTGGTCCCACTCAGTGCCGGATTTACGGATAAGCTAAACAAGCTATAGCTTAGGGCCCCACTCTCTTGGGGGGCCTCCAAAAAAAATCAAAGGAAAAAAACTGGATGTACATTTCCAAAATATAAGATAAAAAACCAATAAAATAAAACCTACATACAGCAACAGGGTTTTGTGTTGTGTAGGTTCCTGTGATGTAAGTAATGGGCCCCGCCTGCTAGCCTGCTCCCTAAAATATCAATGGTTTGCTCATTTCTATATATAGGGTGCCTACATTCTGCATGGACTGGTTGCACGGCAACATGTGCAAATGGCTTTAGATACCTATTAGGTCCATAAATTGCCATATAGCATATGTTCAACTCAAAAAACAGTGACAATTTGTTGTTGACAAAGGACAGCTGGATGTATAAAGGGCCCCATTACCTTCAGTAGCTTAGGGCCTCATCAAACCTAAATCCAGCCCTGGTCCCACTGTTGCTTCAGTTACTCTACCTGGGAAAGTTAATGTAGTCGCTAGAAGTGTGTGTACGTGTGTATTCTGTGCACTTTAGGAGCTGCTGTAATTGTGTGCTTTTGTCAATAAAGAATTAAACTACAGACTGTTTGTCCTCCTTGGCTGAGTGTGTGCAGTCCATTCTTGCATCCTTTTATTCTGTCAAAGCCACCATGGGGACCATCTGATTAAAAATTCTGCATTTGTTTATATTTTAGAAATCCCTTTCAAAAGGATTTGTCCAGCACATAGGAAAAAAGCTCCCATCCTAGAATGACATATTAGAGGTTACCGTCCACACACTTTCGCTACGCAGATACTGGTAAAACCTCTTTCAAACTGTTTTAGCAGAGTTTATCTTCTTTTTCTCTCGTGCGCGGAAGTGATGAACATTGACGAAGTTGTTTTGAAGATGACTCACCAAACTGTGAAGTCTCGGTCAAAAGATATTATTCCCAGACGGGGTACAAGCATTACGGTTGCAAAATAAATGTTTCCAACTGTTAACATAAACAGCAATTCAAACAAAAGTCTTATCTCCAGCACATCGTAAATCACAGCAACAGTCCTTCAACAGAATTCACAGGCAACACTCTTCCATCAGACGTCTGCCATTAGGCGTCTGCAAAAACGAAGCTGAGTGGTCTTCTTTTTATTAACACTTCCAGCTGTCACTAATTAAGTTCAAAGTGCCACTCCCATACAATGAGGGAAAACTCTAGAACCTTCTAGAAACTTTCCATTTGTTTATTTGCAGAATTATTCCCTAACATGACAAAAATAAGATCCCTAATTTCCTAAGATCTCACACTCCATTCCTTCATAGAATTGGGATAGAAATGCTGCCTTGCTCCGTTCAGGTCAACATAGGAGAAGCCTTGGTGTATCAGGCCAAAGACCCATCTAGTCCAGCATCTCAGTAGGTTCTTCTAGGAACAGTGGCAGCCTGTGCTCATTGGGACAAGTGGGATGGAAGGCTAGGAGGTCAACAGCAGGTGGAGCCAGTGACAGAAAAACGTCAACGAACTTTCGTTTTGCCCCTTCTTCCTCCTTTCCTCTGCTGAGTTTTACTGCTAAACTTGCTCGCTCAGGAGGCAGTGATGGCCACCAGCTTTTAAAGAGGATTAGACAAATTAGCAGATGAGTAAAAGGCTATCAATGGCTACTAGTCATGATGACTATGCCCTGCCTCCAGGATCAGAGGCAGTAATGCTTCTGAACATCAGTTGCTAGAAACCACGGGAGGCGAGAGGGCTCTTGTGCTGCTTGTGAACTAGATGGGTCATGGGCCTGATCTAACAGGCTCTTCTTATAATCTACAAGAGCAAAACTGCAGAGGAAGCTAATAGTGAATGACGCCCCCCTCCCCGGACTATAGGAATTCAGGGAAATGGGTGCTAGCTGACAGCTGGCTGAGATTGGTGGGGCAGTGTGCCATCAAGCCTCCACTGTCTAGGAACTCTAGGCAGTAGATTAAGGGATTAAAAAGGAAGGGGGTGTAGACGTGTGTGATCCCCCCACCTGCTTAAAACGAGTGACTCATTCCGATTGAATAATACATTCAATGAAATGTGCTTTCCTCTTTGTCATTTCAGCTCACAAATAGTCTGTGAGCAACCTATACTTTTATCAGATTTTCCCTTTCGTTTTGTGCAAATTTCTTTGCAAGGAATACTAAGGAGGCAACTCATGAGACACAGACTGACTACAGATGAAGCCCTCGTGCATTGAAAAGGGTACCCTCTGGTGGTAGGGAGACCACAGGCCACATACTGTGGTGGAGTACTGTTTTTGTTTCTTACATTGTTATGCATTTTTGTGTTTTTATATTGTAAACCACCCTGTGATCCTCAGGTGCATGGCAGTATAGAAATTATTATTATTATTATTATTACTATTATTATTATTATTATTATTTGTAGGGATTTCTATGCCTCTCAAGATATACAATTCCAGAGCACTGTATGATTTAACATTATACAAAATGGAAAACAGAAACTCAGGAGAACATATTCAACAGTACAAATAACATTCCTTAGAAGCAGGGGTGGGAAACCTTTTTCAGCCTGAGGTCCACCTTACCTTCTTGTCAACCTCCTGAGGTCCACATGCCCATGGTGGGCCGGGCCAGAGACAAAGTGGGCAGAACATTTGCTTTGAATGCAGAATGTTCTGGGTTCCATCCCTAGCATCTTCACGTAGGGCTGGAAATGTCCCATTCCTGAAACCCTGGAGAGCTGCTGTCAGTCAGTTGCAGACAATGCTGAGCTAGATGGACTATAACTCGGTATAAGGCAGATTTATGTGTGACAGACAGAGAGGCTGCCAAGTCTCATCAACCCCACTGACCGTTACTCCTTCCATCTGATCTGTGTGGGTACAAATAATATTGCCAGATATTAGCTTCCACCAGCAGTGAACCCATCGACCTACAACCATCTCTAGGGTGGCCAGGGGGGACAATTGCCCCCCACCCCAGCTGAACCATAATCCCCAGATTTCTTTCCTTTTTGAAAAAGAAAGTTTCTAGTATTTGTAGCCCCTGAAATATGATGGGGAATGTTTTGGGAGAAACTAGCCTGTTCCCACCTTTCTGTGTTTTACTTTGTCCCTCCTCCCTTCTTGGAAAAATATATTTCCACCCAACCACAAGTTCAGCACTGGTGTCAGTCCACGGCTAATGGCTAGCAGAAGACCGGAGGTCTGGTTACTAGGACACCTCTACCCAATCCTTTATCACCACACCAGGCACAAAGGAGGTTCAGATTGCACCCTCAGGCAATGTATTCCTCATAGCATCCTAGCTATGCTCTTATGGCGCAACATATAGGAACTATTGGTCCCAAAGCTCAGGAACCACAGCTCAAAAATTGCCTTCTCCATGGTGAATGTCTCACCATGCTATACATGGTGCATCTTCCCTTATTTCCATTTGAGTTTTATACCCTGGAGCACTTCAATGCACCCTTGTCTTGATATCTCTCATCTTCCTTATCACCCCACTCAGACGATGTCATCATCTTCTCCTAGTTCCTTTGAACTAATACAGAAAAGCAAAAAAAGAAAAAAACCAACCCACCCCCACCTCTTTTATCTCCCTTTCGGAATCCCAAGAGAGGTTGGAAAATAATTCTCTTTAGGCCGAGAGTTGCAGGCCAGCTCATCAGCACATGCCAATTGTGATTGGATGGGGTGCCTTGTGAGTCCCTTTCATGCACTTTCTGACAAAGCTGGAAGTCTGGCTTTGAATCTAAGATCTTCAAAGTTCTGGGGATGAATGTTAGGAATGAGAGAGAATCTTGACATCTTGCCGTTTTCAGCAGGTTTTGGCCAAGCAAAATAATTATTTATGGCAATTCACAGGAAGCTGCCTTATACAAAGTCAGACACACTGGCCAATCTAGACCAGTATGCCTGCACTGACTGGCAGCAGCTCTCCAGGATTTGAGGCAGGGTTCCCCCTCCGCTGAGCCCTACCTAGAGATATTAGGTATTCAAACTAGGACCTTCTGCATTTAAAGCAGATGCTCAGCCACCACTGAGCTATGGCCCTACTGCTGATAAGAATCCGGAATTCGCATACAGTATAAGATAACCCTCAAAACCATTGCACAGTTATTTGGATCAATCTGTCCTCTCCCCAAAGATTCCAGATCTCGTGCATTATCTTCTTCAAACTTGGGAGCGCACACAGTTGGGTGTTTAAGTTAGTTTACTTATCTGCAGAGCAATCAATAATATTTCAGCTTCTACTTCAGATTAATACAGAGATGGCCCTTTGCTGGAAGGCAGGAACTTAACAAATACTTAGGGCCCCCATTCCCTAACAAAAACTTCAGAACATAGAAAACTGGCATAACTATACCAGGCCACTGGTCCATTAAACTCAGTGCTACCTACACAGCCCGGCAGTCTCTCCAGGGTTTCAGGCATGGGTCTTTCCATGGGTCTTTCCAGATGCCAGGGACTGAATTTGCCACTGAGCTATGCCCCTTCCCCTCTTCATCCCTTGTGACATGAAGCATTAGGGATGGCATGAGTCTTAAAAGAGGTTTCAGATAGGAACCTTTTCCAGCCTTACTTTGAGATGCTGGGGATTGAACCCGGAGCCATTTGCTTGCAGAGCAAGCATCTTACCCCTGAGCTATGATCCTCCCGATGAGAAGCTGTATACTGCCATTCTTGTTTCACTTGCAGCATGCAGATATCCAAAGCTACCTCGCACACCAACACCATGGTTAAATTCTTACTCTGTGCAGGAAGTAAACTCAAAGGGTTCAGAGATCCTGTTTAAAATGCTATCTCTGTCTGGAACAGAGAGGGGAGGGGGATGGCGAGTGTACCCATTTTCTTCCCAACCTGCAGGTGGTTTTGGTTTTTTTAAAAGCAAATAAAAGCTTTTGTGAATATGGCATGTAGCCTTTTGTACTTCTGACTCTTCTGAAATAAAACCAGCTGATCTGAAGCTTCAAATATTGGCCTTGACTTCAGACAGAAGAAGAAACCGATTTCTGCTGTGATTTAGTCCAAATGTCTTCCTTTTAATTAAAAAGTTATCTCTGCCTGCTAGAATTACATTGCAACTGTCTAACGCTGCAGCAATTTGCCATCCAACCATCAGCCACCTTGAACAAATGAAGATAATAGTGGGGTGGGGGAGAGAAGGAATTGTTCAATTAGAAGTGTGTGCATGATGGGGGGCTGGAGTGGATCTGACATTTCAATTTACAGATGTAACCACCTCCTAACGGTCATGTCGGTATTAGGTGGGAGGCCAGGAGGGCATGTCTGATGGCCATCACATGTCTAGAAACACTAGCCAACATTTCACTGGGACAGCAATAAAGGGCCTTTTTGCTGGGACCACAGCTCAGTGGTGGAGCATCTGCTTTGCATGCAGAAGGCCCCAGATTCAATACCTGCCATCTCCAGGTAGGGATGGGAAAGAAAAACCATAGTCTGAAACCTTGGAGAGCTGCTGCCAGTCAACGTAGACAATACTAAGCTAGATGGACCAATGTTGCAGGTCTTGTGGTGCCAACTGGGCTGGGGAAGGGATGGGATGATGATGATGATGGTGATGATGATGATGATAATTTATTATTTATACCCTGCCCATCTGGCTGGGTTTCCCCAGCCACTCTGGGCAGCTCCCAACCAAATATTAAAAACACAATACAGCATTAAACTTTAAAAACTTCCCTAAACAGGGCTGCCTTCAGATGTCTTTTAAAAGTAGGATAGCTGCTTATTTCCTTGACATCTGATGGGAAGGCGTTCCACAGGGCAGGTGCCACTACCAAGAAGGCCCTCTGCTTGATTCCCTGTAACCTCACTTCTCACAGTGAGGGAACCACCAGAAGGCCCTTGGAGCTGGACCTCAGTGTCCGGGCTGAACAGTGGGGGTGGAGGACCAAGATTGGTCAGAGGTGGAGGAACCAGAGGTTTGGTGTGGGGGGAGTTCAAGCAGTTACTTCAGAGGAGGTCCCACTACATTGTGGGGAGGAGAAGAAGAAGAAGAAGAGTTTGGATTTGATATCCCGCTTTATCACTACCCAAAGGAGTCTCAAAGCGGCTAACATTCTCCTTTCCCTTCCTCCCCCACAACAAACACTCTGTGAGGTGAGTGGGGCTGAGAGACTTCAAAGAAGTGTGATTAGCCCAAGGTCACCCAGCAGCTGCATGTGGAGGAGCTGAGAAGCGAACCCGGTTCCCCAGATTATGAGTCTACTGCTCTTAACCACTACACTACACTGGCTCCGCTCCAGTGTCAGTTGTTGGGGCAGCAACTTAGCTACTCCTTAGTCGTGTCTCTTAGAGCTGTGTCAGAGACTTATGAGCTAGCACTTAGACTATGTGCTGACTTCTTGAATAAAGCTTTCGGGTTTCCTTGGGCAGAGAGTCCAAGCATGTGTCTGAGACTGGGAGCCAGGACTGCCAATGGTTGGATTTTTAAAAAAAATTTCTTTGAGGCAGCTTCCTATGTTTCTAAGTATATACATATAGGCAACAGTCATGTCAGTAATATATATATATATTATCATAGACAATATATATATGGAAGGGCCATGGCTATATCTGCTCAGTTTCCCACTGAGCCACACACCCAACTTTTCTATTAATGAAGCATGACCCCATGTGGAACAGATCGGGCCCTAAACATCCCAGGGCAAAACATCAGACAACCCCTTTTCCAGGCAGTTGAGTAGCAATACTTACAAATGTCAGCAGGAGCAAACAAGACTTTTAAACCCTTGATTAAACATCCTTGGCCTGGGAGGACTTGCATTAAATTTCACATCTTGCAGATTTCATGTATAATTAAACTGACTCCTTGCTTGATAGCAGTGAATAAATATTATTGATGATGACAAAGTCTATGGCTGGGTTTGCAAACTGTACTTTGAAAACTGTGGTGCGTTCCATTTCTAATACCCAATGATTGTTAAATCACAGGCAATCCAGTCAATTGCATGTCATTTAAAATATACCATTGGTGATTTAGCCTTTGGATGTGTATGTGCACCCACAGGAAAAGCCATCCTAAACTACATCCACAGAGTCAAAAATCAGAATCCAGTCTTGTTCATAAGCCATCGTATTGTTTCCTTTAGTTGTCTCACCTACAAAGGCAGCTCTGGAAATCCAACCAGTACAGCAAAGATCTGTGGAAATTGACAGAATTTGCATTCCACTGGGATGCCTTGCCAAATTAACTGCAGTGTCCTTCAGAAGAGCTCTATTCTTCATTAGAGATATATTTATCTGCCTTCATTTGAGCCCCAAACATCAACACCACAGTGTATATATGAAGTGTGATACTCAGATGTACCAACTACCATCCCATTTCCCACAGTGGCTAACCTGATGATATATCTGCAAAGTCCACAAGCAGGACTTGCTGCAACAGAGCTGGGCTGGGAAACATGTGGCCCTGCAATTCCCATCATCCCTGCCTTCCACTGAGTCAGTCCATCTTTCTCAGTATATTTTGCACTGGCTGGCAGCAGCTCTCTGGAGTTTTAAACAGAGGTGTCTCATGGCTCTTCCTGGAGATGCCAGGGATTGAACCTAGGACCTTCTGCATGCAAAGCAGATGCTCCACCACTGAGCTGCCATCCCAGAAGATTCCCTTTTATTATTGTTGTTGCTTGTTTCAAGTAAAACATTGGTTAGTGTTCCAGACACACAGTGGCCATCAAACATGTCCTACTGGCCTCCAGCTGTATCTTGGTGGCCTCCAACAGAGCACCCACATGACTATTAGGAGGCCTGTCTAACTCACAGAATCCAACTCTTTTCAACACAGAATGCGACCTCCTGAGAGCAGAACTCTGATGGAAGAACAAAGAACATGCAGTCCTGATCAAAATCCCTTCAAAATACCCCAAGACCTGCTCTCCCAACAGGGTCCCTTCAACCATTGCTAGTTCTCTAATTATCAAGAGCTTGTGGAGGAAAGAAATAAAATAGCAATCGTTGACACCTGGCGAAAAATGAGCTATTAAGATGAACTGTCTCTCATAACAAGTCACCTCTAATTTGGAACATGAACTTGGTCCTGCATGAATGAACGGAATAATTGCATTAGTTCTTTCAGCTAACCTACAGGAGGTTATACAGTCCATTTAAAAGAAAAAAATACTGCAGGACAAAAGGGATGCCTTTAAATATTTTTTGCATGCCAGTTAGTGCTTCTCTTAAGGAGGGGTTTTGAACCTCAGCCCCAGGAGCCAAATGAAGCCCTTTTATTTATCCAGCCCTCAGCACTCACTCCAGGCCACAACACTCACTGGTTCAACTATACACCCTCCCTCAAGTGCTTTTCCCTGCTGGAATGTGCCACATCTTGCTTGTCTGCATGGAAGGTGCAGAATAGGATGTGTCTGTGTCTGTGTCTGTGTGACATGGCTGCAATGTAATCTGTCCAACAGTATTGTCCAACAGTAAGAGTCACACCCATTGCTCTATGTTTGCTATTGGTCATGCCCACCACTGGCATGTGGCCCCCGCAGAAGGTTGTAGATTTAGGGTTGCCATGTGTCCTCTTTTTCCAGGACACGTCCTCTTTTTCATGGGTACATAAAATGAGAGTCATCATAGTGATCCATAGTTAAAAGTAGAAGTCGAACTCTTAAAAGTAGAACTCTTCAAAATATGGCATCCCAATTTGGCCCTTGGACTAAAAAAAGTTTCCCCAACCCCCAATCGAGTCCAACACTCCATTCCTGACTGTGGCCAGACATACGCCTCTGGGAAATCTAAAAGCAAGGTATGTGAACAACATTATTATTGTTATTAATCATTAGGTTATTGCAATTTCACTTTCTTCCATCACGGAACCCAAGGTGGACATGATAAGTGCTCACATAACGTTTCCAAAGTTCAGAGCAGATCTTCAAGGTATACTTGACATGCCCCTTGAACTATGCTCACTATCTGATAAGGTACCTTCCTGGATGTGGGAATTGCTTCACTTCTGGAATAGCATTGGCTTCACATCAGGAGCCTTTGCCACTGCATTGGGGGCATCTGATGACAGAGATGCGACTCTTTCCAGACAACATACAAACATAAGAAGAGCCCTGATGGATTGGGCCAATGGCCCATCTCGTTGAGCATCCTCTTTTCCCTGGGACCACCCACATGTGTGTGGCAAACCTGTGAGCAGAATCCAAGCACAAAAGCACTCTCCTCTCCTAGGGTTTCTAGCAACTGGCGTTCAGAAGCATTGTTGCCCCTCTGTGAAGGCAGAGCATAGCCATCATGTATAGTAGCCATTGCTAGCCTTTTGTTCCATGAATTTGTCCAATTCTCTTTCAAACCATCCAAGTTGGTGCCCATCACTGCATCCTGAGGGGCAAAACCACTTAGTTGCTGCCCAGCATCCCGATCAGCACAGCACAGACCACTGGGTTCCTCCGGAGGTCCAATCCTCATCCCCCTATGATCAGCAGTGCCAAGGTATCGCCATGACAACTTTTGCCTCTGGTCCCACCCACCACTGGAAGGCAATTTCCTGATGCTTGTGCAAGAGGGAAGGGATGCCCATTTTTGCAAGAATTTCCCCCCTAACATACACACCTTTGCACACATTGTTTGGTTAAAGAACTGCATCGCAAAATTCGGGGAAGTGCAGATTTCAATGGACAGCTGTGATTTGGTTTGCATCTTGGTTTGAAAAGTGTGAGTTTTATCATTTCCCTACAAAAAAGCAAACCAAATTGAATTTCTCCACACCCTTAGTGACCCACCACCAGTTTAGAGTTCTTGCAAAGAGACAATTACTGCACTCGGCAATGCAGATTTTTGCCTCTAATTTCCTCCCACCACCACCATTATTGGGTGAGGGCCTTCATTAATCCATAGGAGAAATTTATGTCAATTGCACTGGAGACCCTTTTCATAAAGGAGCAATTACCACGAGCTTTGTGATAAAGCCGTTCCCAGTTGGCCTGTGAGTCATCACAATTTTTTTTAACCAGAGCTCACATCCACCCACCACAACCCTCATCCACAATGGGACTCTGCTAATTATGCACGAAAGGAGCATGCCACTCCAGAATAGGGTCAAGTCAGCAAGAAAAGAGAGCATGAACAATACTGAGCGCATTAAGTATACTAATAAAAACTAAATTAGAAAACAAAGAAGGACAAAACGTGTGCTCTTAGTACTTTTGCAAACCTTGCAGTTTTCTCAGGTGCTTCTGCATCAACAGAACAAGTACTTTGTGGGAGAGGGAAAATATAATCAGAGGATTTTAGAGTGGGTAGAATCCTAGGAGGTCATCTATTCTACCAGCCTCTGCTCAATGCAGTAGTTAGTCTTACAACTGCAGCAAGATTGATTTTGGCATCTGCTTAAATATCTCCCACTTTCGTCCATCAGAAAGGCTGCAAGGCAGAAGTCCCAGCCAGATAGACACAGATATGGGACTCATAAAAGATTTGTTCAGATTTGTAATAGCAAATGCTACCTTTTAGAATAGTCCCCAGGTGACCTAAATATGAGAAGTACAAAATATATAGAAATCCTTCTCCCCACCTGCACCTGAGATGTAATGCTATCATGCATTGTTATACATTGTTTAATATGTGTTTATGTTGCATGTGTTATTTGGAAATATTACTTGTTTCTTATAATAAAAATTTCTTTAAAATTATTTATCCCACTACCTTCCCAGGCAGTCTGTTCCAATGTTGAGCACCTCTTACCATTAATTCTTTTTAATTCTTTTCCTCCTAACCACTTCTCCTAATGGTTAGACAAAATTTGTTGTAATTGATACCCACTCATTCTTGTCCTGTCCCCAGAGCATCAACAACAGCAAGTTGGCTCTGTATTCTGTGATACTTGAAGACTGATGTTGTGGATCCCCTTGAAATTTCTCTTCTCCAGGTTAAATATGGTCAGCTCTTTCCATTTTCCTCATGGGACTTTGCAGCCTCACCATCCTGAATACTAGCCAAACCGAGCTTTTTCTGATAACCCTGGGTCTTGCTTGAGTTGGGTTGTGATATCCCCAGATCACTACAGGCCAGGTTGAGGACTTGGATTCATCTGGAACTGCCAGGGGTGGGGCATCAGGCAGGAAGAAGAGACAGGCATGAACAAGAAGAAGTCAAGAAACCTTGAAAGGAAGAGACCTACCAAGTCATTTCACCTTTGTGAGACAAGGTAGGGGGTGCCTTTCCCAACAAGCCTCTCTTTCTCACCACTTCCAGGTCTCTCCTTCTTCCTGTCTTCCCCCTGAAGGCTCTGATCCTACATAGGAAGAGGCTGGGGACAAAACTGGAATTAGTTGCCTCTGTCTGTCATTGGCTCTGGATCTGCCTACCTTGCATCCCAACAGTCCTCATGGGTACCAGACACAGCTGACTCAGGCTAGCTCCCTTACACATTCATGTACATCATTCCATCCTACTCAGTTCAAATATTTTCTGTAGTTTGTGTCCCAGTCTTCCAAGATCTGCATCAAATATTTCTCTTCTGCTAGTGGCACCTTAGGGTTTCACTATTTCCTTTACTTACCAGGATTTCAGCCCTTAAGTGGTCTCCATTGTATCCAATCACACCTTCAAGTCTCATTACCCCAGTAATTTATATACCCAATAAAAAAAAGCTGTAGACTTGACACTAATCTTACCCCCAACAACAAAAAGTCACCCCCAAAATATTTGTATTAATTTTTATTCCTAGGTTTTAATTGGAGAGTTTGCTTTTTCACCAGGGAAATAAACAGTTGAGTTCAGCTATCCAAGGGCCATGTAGTTTCATTAGAATTTACATTAATTCCTCATTAGCCAACAACATGAATGTTGAGATCAATTGAGAACAGAGAGGAAAGAGCATTGCCCTGAGGTGTAAGTGAAATTTTGGTTCAATTATAGTAACACCAAGCCGCAACTATTCTGTTTTTGTGAATGTATTAGGCACTGACGGAAAACGTCCCATTAGATTTTTGTTGGTGCCTCTTGTAAAAAATGTTCACTTATTCACTGACAGCATGGGTGAGGAAGCTTTCTTCAGCCCAGGAGGGGTCACAGTCCCACCTAGGTATTCTTTCTGGGGCAACATGTTTTGGGTGGGATCAGAGGCAAAAGTGGGCAGAACAACAGGTACGGTAGATGACATTCCAGCCACACAAAAGTCAGAGGCTTCTGCACTCATCCACACATCTCTGCTTCTTCCATCCAGGCGAGGGTTGTCACACTTCAATGACACATTCCAGCCAGGCAAAAGCAATTGAGGAATGGAGAAAGCAGGGCTAGGAAGCAGACGTGGCTTAGGGAGAGCTATCCAGGGTCTGGATAGAGAACTCTGGAGGGCCGCATTCTGTACCTGAGGTTCCCCACCCCCGATTTACAGCATCCATGCTAGCCCTAGGTCTCAACTCCTTTCACCCACTTTACCATCGTCACATAAATAAATCCAACGTGTTGCGACATCAGCTACTCACAGTGCAATCCTCAACTTTCAGCCTCGATGGAGCTAATCCACTGCCCTCTTTCTCAGTGTGGTCCTTCAATGATGTCACCTTCTCACCAAACCTTCTTTTGCTATACAGTATTGTGTCCCAGATCAAACACCAATCTCCCACTCTTCCTCCTCCTCA